AAGAAGTCAAACTTAAGACTAAACCAAAAATTCTGTATTTTACTTTTCCTCCCAGGGATTTGCAAATTCTTAGTGTTGAAAGAGAAACTGAGATGTCAGATAGAAGGTAGCTGCTGAGAGGAAGATAATTCTTCAGTTTTCAGCAATTTCATTGGGCTGGGGGGACAAACTGGAGACCAGGACCACCAAGGAAGCAAAGACTTAGACCTAAGGTCCCATAGAGAAGGGAGATACAAAGACTGGTACTTCATCCCAAGTTCTCTCCCAAGGTCTTTGTCTATTAAATTACAAACAGCAATAGGCAAGAAGCAAATGGGAAGCACAAAAAAATGCAAAGCAAAGTATACAGCTACTTCATGATGTTAGGAAAACAAAAACTGGAGTAAATGCTTTATAGATGAGGTAGGATACTAAATAACACATCTGATCTTCTCTCGGCACCCCTGGAAGATTATTACATAGGACTAGGGTATAAGAAAGGTAGACTATACCTTAGAAAGACTACAAATCAGCCTCAAGTCACTTCAGTCTTTAATTGGATTGAGAGGGTCTGCCTCTCTGCTGCTCTTCAGAGCACAGGGTGAATTCTCTCTAGAGGGAGAGAAAACATTACCCAGACTGCTATGGCCTGAATGTTTGTGTCCCATCCAAATTCATATGTTGAAATCCTAATGCCCAATCTGAAGGCCTTGGGATATTCTTAGGTCATGAAAGTAGAACCCTTATGAATGGGATTAATGTTCTTGTAAAAGGGAATCCAGAGATCCCTCACCTCTTTCACTATGTGAGGTTACAACAAGAAGGCGCCAGCTACGAACCAGGAAGACAGCCTTCACTAGAACACTCCCATTCTAGAGCCCTGATCTCTGACTCCCAAGACTCCAGAACTGTGAGAAATAAATTTCTGTTGTTTCTAAGTCACCAGGCTGGGTCTGGTGACTTAGACTTATGACATAGACCCTCTATATTTTTCCATTCAAATGTTCACCATTTGATTAAAAATTGCCTGGCATATCAAAAAACAATAGTAATAATAACAAGATAAAAATAAATACTAAAGAAAGTCTGTCTCACTTTTGAAAGCCTCATGGGGCTCCATAATAGCTTACTTAAACAAGTTCATATTCAATTAAATGAAACATGGCACATTCCAGTCACCAGTCAAACACCAGGGGAAATGTATTTAAGAGTCCTACTCCATTTTGAATGTTTGTTGACAGCTTTTAAGCCCACCTTTCCCCCTTTCCACCTTGCTCCACAACTGGGTAAGCTGATAACAAAGCCCATCTTTTTTTGGTGCTAGTAGGGAAGCTTGAACCACTCGAATCCCAGCCCCTCACATGGAATTCTTGACCTCAGCCCCAGTCTCTAACATGAAAAAAAAACAAAACCACTTCTTGTTCTTTTTGCTGAAGCCACTGTGGACTAGCTTGGGTGCCTGCTCTGCTCTCACCAGAAAGTTCCATTATGTGAGTAATAAAGCTATTTATGCCCTCTTGGCAGGTGCTGTTGCATCATCAGTCTCAAAATCCAAGCCAATCTTTTTTTGGAAGGGGGGTTGCCCTCTGTGGGACCACCACAAAACAGAAATGAAATTAACCCAAATATTGGAGTTCTTTGACTTGGATTTTAAAAATAACTATGAGTAATATATTTTTTTAAAGGAGACAATCTGATAATTAATTTTACTAGAGAATGAGAATCAATATTACTTTTAAAAAGAATCAACTAGAAATTCTTAAAAAATAATTAAACTCAATAGATCAGCTTCAAGCATATGACACAGATGGAGACAGGATGAGTGAGCTAAAAATTAGGTAGGTGAAAAATAACCAGACATAAGCAAAGCTTAGGGAGTAATTTATAGTCTTAAATGCATATATTACTAAAATAAGAAAGGCTAAAAATCAATGATGTGATTATTCATTTCAAAAAGTTAGCCAAATAATAGTAAGTTATACCAGAAGAAAGCAGAAAAAAGAAATATAAAGACAAGAGCATAAATAAAACAGAAAACAGAAAATCTACAAAGCTGAAAGCTATGTTTTAGAAAAGATTATCAAAGTGATACATCTTTTGCAAAACTAATCAATAAAAAAGAGAGAAGACACCAATTAGCAATAGAATAATAATGATAAAAAAGAAATGTAATTCTGATCCCTACACGTTAAAAAAAAAACAACAATAAGAAGATATGGACAATTTTATAAGGAAAAATTAGGAAATTAAATGAAAATAAATTGCTAGAATACTTTCTACAAGCTGACCCAAAAAGAAATAGAAAATTTGAATAGTCTTATGTTTAGTAAAATGTAAGTTTGGTAAAAAATATTTAATCTGTAATTTTTAAACCTTTCCTCAAATAAATATGCAGGCTCAGATTGCTATCAGTGTATTGCTCAAAACATTTAAAGAATAAATAATGCAGTCTTACACATTCATTCACATCCAAAAAATGGAAAGAAGGAATAATTTCCTATCCATTTTTAAAGGAAAGCATAATTTTGATACCAATACCTCTGACGGAGACAAATAAAATATAAAAAAATAAGGAAACAAAAATCGTATAATTGTCACAAAAGGCGCAGAAAACTGCTTTGATACAATACTATACTTATGCATGATTTTTAAAAACTATTAGCAAAGCAGTAACAGAAGAGAATTAAATTAATCTAACAGAAGTATCTGCAAGCAATCTAGAACAAACAACATATTTAATGGTAAAATATTTAAATTTTCTTACAGAGATCTAGAAGTAACAAAAATATCTATTACCACAATATTGTACTGAAAGTTTGTCTTGTTCAATAACGCAAGGAAAAAACAAAATACAAGGATTGGAAAAGAAGAAATACAACTGTCATAATTTGCAGACAACATGACTGTGTACATAGAAAATCCAAAAAATCACCAGTCAAATTTTTGGAAATAGTAAGCGAAGGAGGTAAAGCAGCGATTTTCTCAAACTTGGGGTTCTGACTGAGCTGAGCCTTCTGCTTCTCCCACAAGTTGAGGGTCAAGGATCACCCACAGTGGTTGGATTCCCCTACAGTGAGACCTACAGATGGGATGAGGGGAAATGGTAGATGTGTCCAGGGTCTATTACAGGAGAGGGGAGAATGAGTAGACAAGATGGCTACTTGGCCCTGGCCTCAAATATATACAGGGCATCAGGTTTGAGTTTCAAATATTATCTCCAAATGAAGCTACACACAGAATTACAGAAAGACACTGCCAGGATTGAAAGTAGGAGATGTTTATCATATAACTTTAAACTCATGTCCCTTTCTTTGCCTACAACGCTTATGACACCATCAACTAACATTTTCTATAAATTCTGCAAGTTTCTTATAAATGCCATAATTATATAAATGGGATGGTATATCTGCATGTTACTACTATTATTTTATTACATACGAATATTCAAAACTTTTGTAGTGTTCATTCAGCATCATTTTTTTTTCCTCCTTTTCTTCCTCTCCTTCCCCCTCCACCCCTGCTCCTTCTTCACTTCACTTTCTCAAGACACGGGAGTGACCAGGGCATCCAAGAGCAACCTGGGAAAGGCTCCGGTTTCTTCAATGACCAAGTGAACTCTTGGGACCTGTGGGTGGAATGTAAGGGGTGATGGAGTGCTTGCCCAGAGGTAGGGACAGAGCCAGAAAGACTGCCTTGATATTATAAGTATGACCCTATTTTTAGCTGTAGGCTGGTGTCATCTCAAGACACTGGGGTTATGGTAGGAAGTTCAGGGGTTCCATTATTACGGCCTAGGCTTGTGCACACTCAACTTGCTGACTGCTGTTGTGGGTGATGGCTCAGCCTGTGTCCTAGAGGATGGGGGGCTCCCTCTGGGCTTGATGCAGGACTTCCTGCTGGCTGAGTGTCTTCAGACCCAGAGGCAGTGCTGGAGTAACCTAAAGAGCAGACTAAGCAGGTGCTTAGGGCACAATGAAGTTGGAGTACCGCCTTATCACTCACTCCAAGAAAAATGGAGAGGATTTCACATTTGATGAACTTATTCAGAATTTAATTTTGCCATTCGAAAAAACCCAGAAAATAACATTTTACTTTTAGTTTGCATTTAAGTTGTCCGTCATTTTGAGCAATTTTATTTTATTTTGAATTAAAGTGGGGGTATACCAGAGTTTTGCTGTTGCTGTTGTTAAGTGCTCAGAGCCTGCAAAAGTTTTAACCTGGCCTTGATAACCATTTCCTAAATGTGTCAGAATCCTTGCCCCTCCTGGACTCTTTTTCTCTAGCACATCCATTTCCTGTTTAATATCTTTATTTTCTATTTAGCCCCACATCACTAAACCCAACCTTTGCCAGGCTGATGGACTTCAAGTCCTAGATTTAGGCAGCCTGGTTATCATTTCACTTTTAGTTTGTTTCCCTTGAACAATATTTTTTGCAATATTACACAGCACAATTTTGCATTTACAAAGCAACTCCCACAGATTTCTCTAAGACACAGAACATACTTATTACCTTGAACTTACATTCCTAGTACTGCCCCAGGATCCTTCACCAGGAGTCAAACATCTCTTTGGGGGAAGTGGGATGTTTGTTTCACAAGTTCATCACGTGGCCAACTAATGTAGGCTTAGGTGGGTGGAGTGGAGAGGGCGACAAGGAGGGAGTAAAGAGAACAGTGTTTAAACCTCCATTTAGCACTTTTAATTCTCCTCTCTCAAATCAAAGCTAGTATTCAGCACTTTGGATCATCCCTTCTACTTCTGTTTCAGCCTCTGCCCATTGTTCATGAAAATTAGCACGTTCCAGAGCTTGTTTAGAGTTGTGGGATAGAGAGAGGAGAGATTATGATAATCTGTTTCCTTTGCAAGGGATGGAGTAATCAGAAGGTAAAGAGAAGGAAGGTTCTAGGACTTTATTTCTCCAGGAAATCCATAGAAGGAGTGGCTATTGAAATTTCAAAAGCCATATGCAGAGATTAAACCTGTCAATAAATTGTAGCCTTCAGGCTTCTCCTCACTTACCTCCACCAGCTTGTTGGCGTGTTCACGGAAAACCTGGGCATATTCCTTTACTTCCTTTTCATTCCCACTCTTTGCAGCCTCAATGAGAACTAGCAAAGGGACGTTGGTTTCCAAGAAAGAATCAGATATGTGATCCATCACTGCTTTTCGAAGCTACAGTAAAAACAAAAACAAAAACATACACAATTAAGGAATAGAAGAGTTCTCTCTCTATGAGTCTATTACTCATTTGGCAATATGGATTAAATTACTGCCTGGGAATACAGAGTTTTTCTAAACTATGCCCAGCTCTCATTATTCAAGGAAATAATGTTTCAGCTCCCATTTTAATTTCCCCAGTGCTTATCATATCAAAGGAAAACACAGAGAGATGACTGATGGCTGGTTCTGAATTAACTGTATTATATGTCAACTTGAAAGTTTCATATATGGCCTGTAGCTCCATACATTATAGGCCCTCCTCCTATCAAAGGTCTGCTCTCCTCCTTCATTGGCCTAAATGTTTCCCTTCAGGTTTTGAATTGGTATTCAGTCCAAGTACTCAGGCTCTTGAGAAAAAGGAGAAATCTACACATCAGCCAGCAGGTGGGGAGAACTTTAGAGAAGAATTGGGCCTTTAAGCCACCCTAAAATCTTAACACTTTGTAGTCTCCTGCTTTGCTAGATCCATGGTTTGTATTTGATGGAGGTAGACACATGAAGCATCTAACAATCTCAGAAATGTTTCTGCCCAGGTGTTATGATGATATAGTTGCTGTGCTCCAGAAAGAATAATTTACAATTATTCTTCAAGGTAAGAATAAACAGACTCAAATTTCTAACAATGCATAATTACACTTCATTCCCACATTGTTAAAATGGGAAGCAGAGCAGCTGGATGAAAATGAAATGAAACTGTTCCTGAACAATCACCTCAGGGCTGCTTTCTTCATAATTATGAGAATGTAGACCAGGAAGAAACACCCCAAATACAAATAAACACATGATAAGATAGTAAACAATGTGTATGTTTTTCAAAGAAATATACCCATTCAGGAGTATTCAGGCAAGTCTTTTGATAGAGTGGCACATACACATTAATTATTGGTCAGAAGAAAGGGAACTTTGAACAAATCTCAGTTTCTTTTTGTGCTAATTCCCATGAGGTATGCATGCGTTTAATTGTAACTTAGTTTGATCTATCTTTGAATTGAGTTTGACATTTCACTGTTTAAAATATAATAAAGTCTATGCAAAATTAACATGAATTAGTTACTCATTTGACAACATGTGTTAAATTACCGCCCAGGAATAATGTTGGTTATTAGTGAGCTCATGTATTCTAGGCACATTAAATGTGCCAGATCCTTAACAAGATCTTTACGTATTACATCATTTAATCCCCACCACAACACTACAAGATAGGGCTATCTTTTGCCAGTTTCTCAAATGAAGAAAATGGGACTTAGAAAGTTAAATAACTTGTGTGCAATCATAAGGTAGCAAGTGGCAGAGTCCATGGTAAGAAAGTCTGAAGGGGACAGTGCAATGAACCCTTGAAACTGACCTGCCATGGCCCTCTTCCAGGACTGAGCCCCACATGAAGGAGAAACTACTGGGAGTATAATAAAAATTGAACTTGATGAGAACAACAGAGATAAAAGAAAGAAAAGGCCCAGATAAAGTGGGGGAGATGAGCAAAGCCAGGCTATCTCACCAATAAGGCCATCATATTTTTAAACATCACACAAAAATAACAGAAGTAAGAGCTTTGTAAAGCTAGAAGAGCTATCTGCATCAGATCTCTTTCTAAACCTTCAGGAAGATTAAGTTTACAAAAAAAGGAGCAACTTAAAATTATGAAGGTCAAAACTCATCTCAAGTTATTATAAGAAAAGTAAGAATAAAGAATATAATATTATCCCTATATACAATGAAAGCATGCCAGAAAGATATGCCTGTACAACAAATTAAAACTTTAACATACTATTTCAAATAAATTAAAACACACTAAGGAAATGATACAAGATACAAAAGAACAACATAAATTATAAAAAGAAAAGATTATAGAGCAAGGTCATGAAACTCAAGAAAGAATTATAAACAAAAGAAAAATCATTTGAAAAAGAAGACTAAACAAGAAAGAATAAACACAGCAGCAAATGCCTTAAGAGAAATAAAAAGAGAAAAGGAAGATATTTTTTAAATCCAAAAGAAATTTTTAATTAATTAATATTTTAAATTTATTATTTATTTATTTTTGTTTTTGAGGAAGATTAGCCCTGAGCTAACTGCTGCCAATCCTCCTCTTTTTGCTGAGGAAGGCTGGCCCTGAGCTAACTAACATCCGTGCCCATCTTCCTCTACTTTATATGTGGGACGCCTACCACAGCATCGCTTGCCAAGTGGTGCCATGTCTGCACCTGGGATCCGAACCAGCGAACCCCAGGCAGCCGAAGTGGAACATGTGCACTTAACCTCTGCGCCACTGGGCAGGCCCAAGAAATTTTTTAAAAAGATAAAGATTTGCAAAAACGTGACTAATATTGAAGATAGGCAAAGAAAATTAACATATAGCTACCAAAGGTCCCTGAAGAAGAAAATGAAAACAAGAAAACAGAGTGAAAACTAAAAATTGTAACTCATAAAACTTTTCTAAATATATATGCATATAAAATATATAAACTACATTCTGAAAAAACATATCATGTACCTGAGAAGACTCACCCATAATATCAATCAAGATAACTAGATTCTAAAGAAAAAAAGTGGGAAGATCCTTGTGGATTTAGGTAAATAGAGCACATGACTTATAAAAGAACAAGAATTAGATGATCGTAGGACTTCTCAACAGTAAATCTTTATGCCAGAAGAAAATGAAATGCTGTGTTTAAGATACTCAAGGAAAAAGGGATGTGAGCGAAGAATTTTATAACCAGCAAAGCTCACTTTCAAGGACATAAGGCACAGATGAAATTCGATCAATATGCAAGAACTCAGAAAATACTGTTCCTATGAGCCTTTCTTGGGGAATCGGTAAGAGAATGAGCTTTAACAACTAAAATAATTAGAAAAACATTAACATAAGAACTTTCAGTGAGCATTAGATATATATTTATTTATAGAACTAAGAATATATGACTGTTAAATGGGAGAATGTATATGAGATGGTTGTATGCTCTGTCAATGAAGACATAGTACAATATTGTAAAAATGAGAAGAAAAAGGGAACAGAATATATGAAAATATTTTAAGAGTTTTATGTAATTTTAATCATAGTGGTAGTATGAATATTGTTATTCTGACACTATTGTGTTCAAAGGTAGATAAAGCAAATGATTAGTTACGAGAGTTTATTTCTGATCTCCTGTGTTTTTGTTAACTAGATGTGTTGCTGTGGAAGAAAGAAGATATAATGTAGAAGAGGTTAAGGAAAAGCTCTGTAATCCTAGATCTAAAAAAGATATATCAATAAGAACACTTGAGATTTTCAATTAAAAACACACACACAATTTTCCAGTTCTGTCCAATGAAAAGGTATAAAAACAGTGGCCAGCCAGTAGCCATGAACACCTTGAAATATAATTTTCCACTAAAACAAACCAAGGCTTCTTGGAGAAATGGCTGATTCCAGGTACCCTGAAGCTAGAAATGTACAAATAAGCCTGAAATATCTTGTCATACCAGATAGAAAAGAGCTGTGGGGACCTGAGGTTGGCCACCCCAAGATATGTGTCTTTGGCATCAGGATTATTTGAGGCTGATTGCTTTTGATAAATTGGGACAGGGAAGGAGGCTCTGAGGAATGGAACTTGCCCTTTGTTAAGACACACTTACATTTGTAAGGTAAATCTCTATCTGTAATAGGTGCCTCCCTCTCTGTACCAGGAAGAAGAAAGGAGATGACCTTCTCTCTAAAAACTCTTAATCAATACCAAAGGCAAGGACTTAAATCTGCATTTTATTGTGCTTCTCTGGTAACCTCCTGTAAGTGACTTCCCTCCCCCTCCCAACATTGGCATCTCCTTAAAGATTAAGCATCTTTCTTTAGGCTGGGAACCGATTGCAGCGCTCATCTGTGACCCCCCAGCCCGAGGAACACACCTGCCACCCTGCGGCGCTCACTGAGACAGCAGACCTATCTGCCGTTTCCATCGAGAGCTGTGCTTACAGAGCAACCTTGTGACTATTGTAAAAGGGACATTTCAATCATGTGTGAAACACCCCGTTTGGGGGTATATAACCACTAAGTGCACCCCACTTCTTCGGTGCCCTTTCTTCCTTCGGGAAGAAAGGCCCCGGGCCATGGTTCCTCATAAAGCTTTGTTTAATTTTCTCTTGCTATTCTGTCTCATGTGAATTTAATTCGTTCTCCGGCCAGACAAACCCCATTTGGGAAGAGGAAATGTCTTCCTCCCCTACAGAGCTATCAAAGAATACAAGGGTCTTCTGAAAATAACTCAGGAGGCCCCTACTGGCCAAAAACTAGACAATCTGAACTTCACAAAGGGTAAAAAGCCCAGTGCATTGAAATTTATCAAATATATTTAAATTTATGAGTTTATAATTTAAAAAAAGAAGGACGAAATTAATTGGTCACCTTAGAGGATGACAAGGAACCGATTCATTTATCTTGCAAGAATCAAGAATATATCTTGCCTTTCCTACATGAACTGGAATTCTTCACAATGAGGAAAGTATCTGTTTATAAACTTATTCCAATTAATAAACAAAAAAAAGATAGACTATCACCATTTTGCAAGCTTTAACGAATTAAAATAATCTAGGCAATGAACATGAATGGTTTGAAAACGTCACACAAAGAAACAGACAACCAGACATCATGTGCCTTCTGATGAAATAGCACAATCCCAACTATAGCCTTACCAAATGGATTAAACCTGAAAGTCGTAGAGGCTCTGGATCCTCAGAAGATACAGAGGACAGAATAACATACGGAAGGGCACCACACACATCTAATCAGCAAAATGCAAACTGTGGAAAACTTACAGTACAAACCATCCAGGCTCTTCAACCGATGGATTATAAACAAAGAATGGGATGGAGGGATTAAGAGACTAAAAGACATACCTGAAAGTGTGGGCAAAACTAAACCAGATCATCTGAAGAGGCACATTAGGGTGATGAAACCACAAAGAAACACAAGGAGGTGA